ACGACGAGTTAGGCGTCCGAGGTGAGGGTGACATGGAGGAGATGGTGTGAGGAAGAGATGAAAGCTTATGGGCAGTCGTGGAGCCAGGTTGAGTGGAATGGAGGCGTGCTATTGAAGCCTTATGTTTCACTAGGAACCCAGGGGACAAATTACAGTGAGTAATAACGAAAAAAGCATCATTACTGTGTTGAAGACGGTTAGCTATACATCAGATTCTAAGCGTGTGTCTATTACAACTTATCTCTCCTGTAGTGATTCACTAAGATCTATATAAATGCGAATTGATGATCAAGTTATCAGAATTGAATTCTCAACAAAGGAATAAAGTGAGTTCGTTGCACTGGGTTTGAAAATGTATAGATACTCACTTTTTTTTCTGAGATAAATAAAAGTCTGATTGAGTGAAGAAATATGTGCCTTTTCAATTAGGTCTTCTTCCAAGGCTCTACACTAACAGATATAGGGTTGATAGATCGGGTCTATGTCTATACATCTGCTAGTTGGTGACTGACTGACGTGAATGCCAAACTTCTAGGAATTCTCTGACATTTTTTGTCTTTCCTCTCTCCATCCAACATTTCGACATTGTCCGGATTGAATTCATGTCCATAGTTGTTATACACGTGCATTGAAATGAGTGATGAAATGTTGTGTGTGGCGTTTAATATCCAATTGGTGTTTATGTAGACAAAGGCGAATGTGGGTGACCACTTTGTCCAATGTGGTGTGTTGACTACAGTTATTGTAGTTGATTTTGTAAATGATATTCGGTTTGTCTTCTTCGCTTGTTGCATCCATTGGTCTGCATAATAGTGTTTGGAAGGAATTTGTTGGTTTATGAGCCACACCGATTCCAGGTGGTCTCAGCAATCTTGTCGTGATTTCTGATACATTCTTCATGTATGGTAGGACGATGCGTTTGTTGATTTGTGTTGATGACTTTGTAGTAGATGATGCACTGGATAGGCATCTTCTGATAAAGTTTTGTGGGTAGCTGTTCTTCTTTGGTATGGACATCAAGTAATTTTTTTCGTTTCTCCGTGAAGTTGTTCTACTGCAGTGCAGTGTGTTCTCGCTCTTTTGAATAGAGTCTGAACGTAACTGATTTTGTGTGTCATTGGGTTGTTGCTATTGTAGTTGAGGATTTGGTCAGTGTGTGTTGGCATCCTGTACACTTGGGTTTCCAGCTTTCCGGCATTTGTCCTACTGACTAAAACATCCATGAATGGCAGTTGGTTGTTTGACTCCTTCTTCATTGTGAATTTGATGTCACTGAAGACGTTGTTGATCAAACTGTGGGTGTTTTCTATATCATCCTTTTTAATGATGACAAAAGTGTCGTCTACATAACGAATCCAAATTTTTGGTTTGATCACAGGTAGGATGATGGCTTCCAGTCTCTGCATCACTCCTTCTGTTATTAATCCTGATATCGGTGATTCCATTGGAGTTCCTTTCATCTGTTTGTATATCTTGTCGTTGAATTGGAAGTATGTTGTCATACAAAGGTCGATGAGTTCCATCAGACTTGAACATTTGAGTTTTGTGCATTCTGAAAGGTTTTTGTCTTCATTGATCAGGAGGGATATCGTTTCCTTAACCAATTGAGGTTCGATGGATGTGTATAGTGCTGTGACATCGAAGGATATCATTAACTCGTCGTTTTCTATGTTAATATTTTTGATCTATTCTAAGAATTCTGTTGGTGACTTGATGGAATGCCCACATGATTGAACGAGGTGTTTCAATTTTCTCGAAAGTTCTCTTGATATGTTGTATGTTGGAGTTCCCGGAAGTGAGAGTATTGGTCGTAGAGGGATATCGGGTTTGTGTAGTTTTGGTCTGCCATAGAATCGAGGAAGGATAGGTCCATTCGATTTCATACGCCATTTGTCTTGTTTTGTTATTTCTTCTGCTTTGAAGAGTTTGTTCAAGTTTTATTGATCTGGTTGTCGAACTTTTGGATATGGTTGGTTTCAAGTGGTTGATACACATTTTTGTCTTTGAGTAATTCCTCTGCCTTCTTGATATAGTCTTCTTTGTCCATGACTACTGTAGTGCGTCCTTTGTCTGCTGGAAGTTAGTGCGGATGATGTCGTCCAGCAAGGCGATGAAAGCTTCACGATTAAACAACCCAGCTCAGAGAACACAATACAACCAAGAGCATCCACCTGAGCTACAAATATTCTCCATCATTTCAATATGCACATTGTTATGCTGGTCAGGAAGGGTTCAAACTTTTCTTTGCTATCCATTATTAGTCTGCAGTTCAAGGTGATGGGAATATGTGCACATGTGAGTAGATGTGAAGAGCTACAGAAAATCTTAAGAAAGCCCAACGGACACTCTCAGGAATGCTTTAGTCCACTTCATTTACCTCCACACAAAATTGTGTTTACACAAATTAGGCTGTTTCGATTGTGATGCATATTATGTTGGAGAACCATCTCATGAGATCCTTATTAGAGCTAAAGAACAGGCAATTTACAAAAAACGACCCCTAAATCATCCTCCAAAACTAGAGAATTATGAAAAAATCAAGTCGGAAATCGCGGTTCATGCCATCATCTGTCACATTCACAAAATTGATATTGAAAGTACTAAAAATTATTCTAAAAGGTTTTTCAAACTACAAGGAAAGAAGGATAGCTCAGGCATTTCAAATCATGTTGAATCCTAATGCACTCAGTCAACAGAAAGGCAGGTCTAACTATCCAACCAACTTGGAGAGTATTTCCAAAAACAGTACATCATATACAATAGGTTCGAGCCTTAGTGGGAATATCACTCACTCGGGTGCAGGTACATTCAGTTGACGAGTTCAAAATAGGACGAAACGCGCGTCCTGGATTCCTTAGTTATCAAGATCAATATAACATCATAATTATCCGGCAATAACGAAGCATCTACATAGGAGCCTATCTGTCAACAGACGCCAAGTAATTCGGCCCGGTATAGCAACGGGAAATTACGAGTATGATTACAATGACATAACAGTGTTCATATCATGTATTGATTGGTCACGGGAGTGCAACCAATTTCATGTTGTCTAGTCCTGAGTGCAGATCGAATTCTATCGATCATATTTGTAATGTGGCAACCAAGCTAGGAAGCTCAGCATCGCGGTGCACATTAGTAGATGTTAGTTATTAGTGTTCATATCACTCGCATGTGGTCTGATTCGTCATCACTTACTGTTTAAACAGTCGATAACTTTTGTAGGTTTTATTATTTGACGAAGCGATTTTCACGAAGTCGCGGGACGTCAGAAATTAATCTTCCTACTTTATTAAGATTTTACGAATAATATTTCATTTATAATCTATTTATTCAGTGCTTAACTTACTCAACTCTATCAGGTCAAATTTTGATCTTGAAGTTTATATGATATAATGTTTGTGTGATTCACATCACAACTCGTTCAACACCACCTTATGCAAAAATTCTTGAATATTAGTTTACTTCTTGGCAAGTTTGTTGCAATGAAAACATACTCATTTGTTCAGTTAAAATTATTTAAGCACCAACTAAATGCCTTTTTGCTTGGTTGGTCACTCCTACTTGGCTACTAAGGCAATCCACTACAACAATAAAACCTGGACGCTTGCCTTTTAATAGGAGACTAGACAGTTTCTGATAAAACTCACCCCTTATGTAATCAGTTTAACAGCATACAGCTGACTGCTAGGTGAAATTTAAGCCAGCAGTTGGCTTCCTCAAAGTTCAGACGAATATCTGTAGATAATTGAAGCACAGGAAAGAAGCCAGTCTCAGAAGATGAAATCTATAATTTCTACACTTTACTGGACAGTTGGTATTCGATTACTGCTTCTACGGGTGAAGTTAAGCCATAGAAACCAAAGCAAGTGTACAGATATATGAGTTCGAAGTAATTATTGCAGCGATTCATGGATTAGGCTTCCAAGTTGTGTTTTAACCTACGCGCATACACCAAATTGAGTGGCACTACACGGTAGCCCTCTCTATCCAACTCTATTGGCTGTGAAGAACAACCGCTGAATTTGTACGAAATTGCTTTAAGAAGTTGATTTTTAACTAGTAAGTCACGGGTCCGAACCCGGCTGCACCAACCGAAATTTGAACAGCTAGGTGGTATTAGTCCTCACGCAATAGATGTGACTTATTGCCTATTATACCAATGTACACAAGGTTACTGAGTCTAAATAAGAATGCTTCACGTGTTATGCTATCGCCACGTTAGCAGTATTGTCTGCTTTATCGAGAAACCAGAGTCAGTAATTTAAAGTTTTGGGGTAGAGTAATAGGTAAAGAAGACAATATCACTGTTAAGTTCTTTAACATGAGTCGACCCAGATAGTTAGGACGTGTGTTATCCCCATAGCTAGTCACTGTAGATCTGAATGTGCAGTGCTGGCTAAAATAAAATCCGTTTTTAAAAAGGATGAGCAGGGCAAAAGACAGCATCGCTCCAGTAATTCTCTTGTTGGTGATTTGAACTGTGTAGGAAGATATAGGCTTCCAGCTTGTGATCAGTGAGACAGTGGAAGTCGAAAACTGGAAACTCTGGTCAATAGAGCTCAGAATCAAGTGTATTGGTACGGATAAACATATTCTGCTATTTGCTATATCCCCTCTTACTTTTCCTCACTTAGCTTTATAAGACTTCTGATAGTGTCGTTCCAATTCTCTTGTCGCCTTGATGTGCTTGTTTGAAGTACGGCAACTTGGGCTGTCAGGCAGTCATCCCCATTGCCATGTCGATACTGACTGACTGGGGAGCCGGGGTATTAGGGTTACTTTACTAATATAAAATAAACTTGATAAACCTTCAAAGCTAGTACACAAAAGATTTCTGAATGATAAGTAAACTATGATAAAATATCTATGGGTATATGGGAGTTGAAGTAAAATATTTATAAGTGTGTTCACAGAGTGACTTGATCAAGTTAATAGTAAACTTCTTACAATATCATCACTGGTGTAACTTAAAAATATACAGATGCGTTAATTATGCTTACTTCCATAATGGTTACTAACAGATGGATATGACTGCATTTGTTGTGTGACATCAGATACTGCTTGATTCGGACCATAAAACGGCTGTAAGGTAAACTGGGGAACCGCATGAGCCTGAACGTTCTGCAAAATATTACCACTACAGTTATCAGTTTGTGGGTTTGCGTATATACCACTTTGTACAGAATACGTGTCACTTGGGGGAACCATCATAGATCCATTTGACTCAGCGGGTACATTGGATCCATTCTGAAAGAAAATGCGAAATATACGAAGTAGCGAACTGAGAAGGAAAACAAGAAACTATATGAATCGACTAAAAGTAATTCACACAATAAAAAAGTTGAAAATAAATACACGTACAGAGACAAAACAACTAGGATCAAGCGAATTTAACAATCTGAAGTGATGCACACTTCTGTAAAGTTCTATGTTCATCTGTTTGTTGGTTTATGAAGAACTGACATGAGCATGACAGCTTCTTAAACTACTTTATGTTGAGATGCGTTACGGTATGCACAGTTTGAGTATTAAATCAAAACAGAAAATCACTGGAACGATTAAAACTCGATAGAGAACTAACACATATATGTTAGAGATGGCTGATCCCTAAATAACTCATAATGTGTATGTTTTTTCATTGTAAACCCCAAACCTTATTTTCGCTCCATGCGGTGTCGCCTATTTTTACCGCGGTTTAAGATACTAAACCCTAATTGGTCTAATTTACGCTTTTAGTATGTTACTTTGTTTTGCCAGGTAAGGCACTTAAAAAATTATATAAACGACTGAACATTCAGATAAAATCGCACTATTTCCATTGAAGTAAGCATATTTTCAATCTCATTGTTTTCTTTTTCTGGTGTCAGCTGAATATCGCGTTCTATCTGGAGGTTTATCAATTCATTTTAGGTTGGAATTCATCATGGACTGACATCAGTTGGAGGAACATTGGAAACCTGGAAGAACTGGACATTTGTTTCAACCTAGTATGGGACTCCTCAGCAGTGGGCACCCATGACACCACCAGGGATCGGACGCAGGTTCTTCAGGTTCCGTGGCCAGCACGTTACTTTTGAGCTAGCCACTGAATCGGAATCTAACCGTTCACATTACCTACTTCTGTCAGTTCACGATATAGTACGACCTACATCCAATGTCATCGTTGAGTAACTGTCCTCATGTCCGGCTTGGTTGACTTCACTCGTCATAACTTGATGATAAACTCTAACCTAGAATATGGCGTTGTTGAGAAGTCATTGTTCTATCGTGAATCGTATTGCATTGGAGAGTTATATCGTTCATACGCATAAATACCACAGATCAAAACAGTATATCAAACTAAAGTGAAAACCGAAATATATAGCCAGATTCAGCAAAAACATGTGAACACTTACACAATATTTAAAAGCCTTCTGTTGGATTCCGTTAAAAGTGAAACTTATGGCTCAGTGGTTGAGGGAGATGACTACAAATCTTTGGGCCATGGGTTCGAGCTCTGCTTCATTGGGCAGCCAGGTAGTGTCATTAGCTCTCACACAATACGTATGGCTAATTGCCTGCTGCATGGATGTGCACAAGGTAGCTGAGTGCGATATTATATATATATAATAACCCTCAGACCCAGTACCTTTGATCGAATATACCACGCAACAACGTGAGTAGATAGACTTTGTTAGCCAAACCATATAGTTCATCCAAGTCAGCTAACCAGGTTCAGCTGATCTGAACAAGTCGGTTCTGTGAGCTGCATTTGTGCCAGTATACCACTAGTGAGTTCGACCCCAAACAAACAAAACGGTTTTCAGATATTTAAATCACTCAGATCTGGGATAGCGAAATCTGCAGATTAGTGTGAGTAATTCCTAACTAGTCATGTTGTCCAGTAATATATTTCGTTAGCTCATTATACTGTTGAATCAGAGATCTTATTTTGTGGTCTTGACTGGATGGTGTTAAACAGGAATCATGTTGACACTATAGTTAGGCAGTTGAATAACTACTAAACTGTGAGAGATGGCAATATGGGCCGTGAGCTATTTGTAAATAAGTTGAAAATTGATTACCCTATTCACCTTCGTTGGTTGGTAAGGCAACATAGGATACAATGCAACAGTATGCATATATAACGACCCAAATTACTTCCAGGTCTTATTAGAATACCATTTTTTAATGATTTTTAGTCTTTAAGCAATTAGATATCAACATGTAAGATGATGTATCTTTTCTTGAAATTTGATGTATGTCGACTGTTAATTTTCACTGTCACAAACAATGAAATAATTCTTAGCTATACTGAGACATCGATAAATTAGTGTAAGACAAGCCAGTGAAGTAATATACATTTTTGTCTTTATTTTGTGTACTGGTCATATGATAATAGGTGGTAACAGCATTGCTCCCGTTTGGCGGAATCAATGTGTGAGCAATTTTGAGGTCAGGCAAACGGCTAGATAGGCAAGTTCATTCGTGAGGTTTTGAATTTTGGTCGACTAAAATGGCTTAGAAATGTATTGCGTACCTAGACGTGCAGTGCTAAGTGAAGTTGAACTAGGTTGGAAGAGGATTCACGGTATCAGTGCATGAAGTCTGCGATTGCTGGTGCGAAACCAACTCAAACATAGATTGACCAAGAGTCTTCACGTCGATTGCGAGCAGTGATACGTGATGTAAACGAGACAGATGGAGAAGACATAAGCATTGGATAACACTAGCCAACTACTTAGGCTTATTAAGAATACCCGCAAGAGGAAGATGATAGTTAGTGAAACCATCACCGAAAAGGATGTAACCCTGATACTCTCAGGACAGGCGGCTAGAACACTAAAGCATAGTTTAACTGGCCCTAGGCAACGTTTCAGTCACCCAGCATTCAGCCTGAATCTAAATGGAACGCAAACATCGGTCTTGCAAATCGTTTTCAAGATGAGAAGGCTGTATTGATACTGAAACAATTTGAGGCAGCAGAACCTGACAGTTTGCCACCTGAAGTTTTCAAGAATGCAGGTAGAAAATTGATGATAAGAGTGACGAAGGTACTAGACAGCGTATGGAAGTCAGAGGTAGTATCGTTAGACTGGTCTACTTCATTGGTCGTTTTCGTCTATATGAAAAGAGAGTTTTCGTGTGACAACCATAAGGAAATTAGTTAGGGTATTATTGTGTCCAAGATCCATAGTTATCCAATGCCTAATTGGGGCTGAAGAATAGCAAACTCGAGAAAACCAGGTAAGTTTCAGACCTGGACGAGGGTGCATCGACCACTGAAAGTAAAAAACATGGAGCGGTTACACAGTTTTAATGAGGTGTCTTCGTAATATTGCTCGCATTTCGTGGAATCACCGTGTGAGCAATATTGAAGTCAGTCAGGTGAAGGGTACTAGGTAAGACAGAGAAGTCGGCTGATGACATTTTGAACCTTAATCGACTGACATGGTTTGGACATGTACTGCACATGCCGAAGAACCCACTGCCTACCTCAACGAGCAGTTCTAGAGGAAGTTGGATTACGTTGGAAGAGGGTTGAGGGCGCCCAGACCAAGACGCAGCATCAGTCGATGATGTCTCCTAATGTTGATCTGAGTCGTGTAGAAAGATGTAGACTACCTGATTGGAGTCTCGAAGACGATAGGAATCAGTGGATAAGAACTTTTGGTGATATGGCTGAAAAACGGTGACAGTGGCGCAGATGTATTTACTCTTGAGTCTTTGCAATAACCTTTACCTTAAAATTGCTTATTGTCTAACATAACTTCGCTCTTTTTCTATCCACTCTGCACCTAATTTTTGTAAACTATTGTGAGATGTAGTAACATGAACCGATCCACTTGTATGCAAGGTTCTATGCTGATTTTATCCGGCTGTTTGTCTGGTAATATTATGTTGAGATATGGCAACTAGGATTATTTCTACAGAAAATCTTATATTTATACACGCTTGAATACGTATCGTTAAAAAGAGGTAGGAAAACCAAATGTAAACATGCAAAATATTTATAATTCTAACATACTGCAGGAATCGTAGGCAAATTAGAGGGTACGTAAACGCCAGGCATCGATATCGGTTGTGAATAAGGAAATACATTTACACTATTAGGTAAGTATGATTTCATTAGGTTTGCATTCGATACTCCAGCATAATAAGCAGTTGCCGCATTCTGATGTGACATTATATTATGATATAATTGAAAAGCATCTAGTAGACGTTGATTCAATTCTGTCAGCATAATAAGTTTTTTATCAACTGATTTCAGTTCTGGATCGACAAGTGGAAGCATTGCTAAACATTCCGCTTCAAGTTGTCTTAATTCTGGTGGATCTTGACAAAATTCTCCAGTTGGATCAACAGTTGTGATTAGACGTAAACACTCATCAATTTTTCTCTCATCTAATTTAGGGATAATTTTTATATTGTTTAGTTCATTTTTTACATTAGTTTTTTGATTAACTTCATTGAAATTTGATTGTAGAATTTTTGTTTCATCCATATCTTTTTCACGTTTTACAAATTGAGCAGGAAATAATCCTTTATTATTATTACAGCTTCCAAGCCACCAATTTTCATCAGAATCATCCAAGAGTAGAATTATATCTCCAGCTTTAAATGTCAACTCATTATCTTCAGCTGCTTCAAAATCGTACACAGCTCTCACATAGCCTTTAGAAGGATGATTAACCGGTTTAGAGGTGTTTGATGATGTTAAAAAACTTGAAGTTGAATCGAAAAGCAGTTGAGAACGAGGATATAAACTAGATATCTCATTTGAACTAGAAATGGGTCGAGGGTTGAGGTTGGAAGACACAGAGGAGCTAGTATCTTTCAATGACAATGCAATCGCTGAAAAAGTAGAATCAGATTATGGAAGTATGATAAACAGTTAGGGAGTGAATCAAAGAAAACTTTGACAAAATACTGAAGTATCAGTGACAGTTTTATAAAATATATATTTCTAACAATTTGTGGCATATTAAAACAAAATGGAAAATAAATACAGTAAGTAGAGTATTTAGATGAAGATGATGAATTCCTGAATGGAGATATTGCGCACGCATGCAGTCGATACCATCGACTTCAAAGCCCAGACAAAACAGAGAAGACTGATTTGAACGGCAGAGTTTATTGCCTACAAAAAGATTTGCTCAATGACCCGAAACATATGTATGCATGTATATATGTAAAAGTTAAAACTTTTTACTAGACTTTTACTCAACTTACGCCATCTGTGACGCCGCTACAATATCCCATTGTCTATGGAGGATCGAGTGCACTGTGCTGCAGTTCGCCCTACTCTGCTGTATGGCTGTGAAACATAGCTATTAAAGGTAGAAGACATGAGAAGGCTTCAAGTGTTTGACCACATTTGTCTTCGTAGCATGGGCCTTGATGATGATAAAGTAAAAACAAGTAGTATCATATATTGAGCCTTTCTGCTTCCCACGTGTATCGCTTAATTTTACTGCTTTTAAGAACTACTTTCCTCAAGTGCGCATGCATTTTCTAATAACTCAAGAGTTGTGTCGCTAGGTTGTACCTTCATACATTGATTAGAGTAAACTAGCTTCAGTTCAATATTGTCTTCCGCTTATGTCAGCTAAGCTAGTTGTCGAGTATCGTATCATTTGTCCAGCTACTAGATTACGCATCCACAATTAATCGTATCCGACAATCTCAACACAAGCTGGAGTGGGAAAAGGTGCGAAAAACGTAAAATTCAAATTTTTCATATGGTATGAAATGGTTAGACAGTTAACATGAAGCAGATGATGGTCCGCAAAGCACAAAAATGACAATGAGGTTTAATTCTAACTTATTGACCTGATCAATCAAAACAAAGGGGAATACGAAAATAGCTAATATGAAGAATGTGGTGAAATTCTGCCAATGATTTTAAGTATTCATGTCTAGTGTTGTCAATCACTTTGATATATCATAAGTTGTTATTACCCGTTTGATGCGATGGGTAGTGGGCGCAAGTCTCAGCAGGAACAATGATATTCACTCATAAGCAGGTACATTGTGCTGATGAATCCTAAGTGGGTGGGAATTCATGTTCTAGCATTCCACTACTATTCATTATTCAGCGGTAATATCACAGCTTGTTTAATTAGTATTTGAAGTCTTCGTGAATTATGTTTTTTTGTAAAATATTTTCGAGTCACGTTAAACAGAGTTTTCAGGAGGTAGTGTATTTTTAGTTCACCAGTGACCCTTACACTAGCACTTACTTTACGTACATAGTTAATAAATGCGATAAATTTTTCTTTTTTTTTTAAACGATCACCCCCCGAGTCCAAATCCCGGTGGGGACAACATAACTCACTGGGAGGCAGGTGCATCCAGCCGACGAGTCCCAAGTAGGACGAAATGCGCATCCTGGATTCCACTGCCCATCATTACTATATATAATCATAACTCTACCTGCTTTTGTAAGCGTTCGGAACTCACAAGTCGAAAAGAGAACTGTGAGTTAAAGGTTGAGTATGTGAAACTGGTTGTTTTAAAAAAAACTTTCTACCAGATTAGACCTATGGACTATCCATAGTGAAGACGAATAAAAATGTCATAAGAAGTTTAATCCTTTGTAATATTCACAGAAGTGTTTATGCACGGTTAAATCTCCAAAGTATGAATTTTAAGTGAATGGGATAAATCATTTGATGTAGCTTTCAACCTAAATGAACTTGTACACCTGCAATACCTGATTTTCATGTTTGTTTGTTTCACTGGAATGACCAACAGGGAATAATATATGAAACATATTACATAAGAAATGGCATACGTGACTCAGCAATCTCATGAATAACACTTCGGCATTAACTAATGAGCCACACCTATTGTGTCAGAGCTAACGATACTAACTGGCTGTTCAAACCGACTCGGTAGGTGGGGTGGGTTTCAAACCCCTGGTGAAAAATAAATCTGTAAACTTAAATCGACTAGGTTGGGTAGGTTGAAATAAAAATAAACACAACATAGCATAGATAGTGGAAGATTGCTTAGGTGCAATGAAGGATGGTTCGGTGGGGGGGGGGGGGGGGGGGGAACACAAAACAATGATTACCTTGTGCTAAATCCTCTTCCTCCTTGGCCTGCAACTGAGAAACGAGTCGACGTGAGGGACCGTGTTCAGCCATCTACAACAGGAATATTAAAAATGAGTATCGAAACAGGCTACAGCATAAAGATGGAAGGAAAAGGATAATCATTTGACTATCTGAGATAGCCGTAGTTTGGCAGACTAGTATTTATACTGAATGATTAAAGGTGAGATGAAAATTTGGACTGTGGCCGGATTCGAACTAGCGATCACCAGATTGCGGTTCAGATTTTCACCTCACCTTCAACAATCACCTAGCATAGAAAAGAATTTTATTTCACATGGAACCAGTAAAACATGATTTGAAATAAAGAATGTGAGCAGGTGTATTTCTAGACTTTATTAGTCTGCTTTTGATCATACGTCTGGATACAATCGTTTTCGTAAAGCCTACTTTCAACTAATTTAATGACTAACTTTCAAAGCATAAGTATTTTTTGGTTGAAATGCACTTATATGAACAGATGAATGAAACACACTTAGCCACCTCATGCACATCCGTGCAGTAGTGGGCAATGAGTCACACGTGTTTTATCAGGGTTAGTGATAGTACGTGGCTGTTCAAACCTCAGTAGGTGGGGAGGGGGTCGAACCCGCCACCCATTGGTTGAAAGACATCTTCCCAAACGAGTGTGACATATATATATATATATATATATATATATATATATATATATATATATATATATAAGAATTTTGTGAGATGTACATTACTCCACTAATATTCCGTTAAATCTAATCAATAATCCGCAGCCATCATCCCTAACTGCCTGAGGATTCATATTTAGGGCTCGTCGTGTTTTTGTTTCCTGTTGTTTACATCTATCTCAAATTTGGCATAACTTGAAGGTCCTGTCTCAATGTTCCACTCAGGAAGAAACTGGGTAGAGGGGTTTCTTAAGAACAGCTGGATTCCAGTTGAACTGTTTCTCGACATCTTCCATCTATTTCTGCCACCAACTCTCTTGCAAATGAATCACAGACACACTTTTATTCGCTGTAGTTTCACCTATCACTAACCTTTCTACTCAAGCCTACAAGGCTGTCTAATGTTGTCTTTAGCTTTCGCTACTCATGGTCATTATGCACACTTTGTCATCTTACATCTAAGGTACTTGTCCTTTATTCTGCTCGGAGGTTGTTGAAACACACAAGTGCAACCGTAATACCAGTGAAACTGCTATGATCCACTAGTCTTTTATTAGGACCAGTTATCATAGCAGACCATAAATAGTGCCAGGTAATCACGGTCCAAACAAGCCACGACAACCAGCACGACCTCTAACTTAGCCTTACTCATAGTGGTTCGGGCAGTTAGATAGTTTCACTAGTCATTATATAATGTTTGTAACCTATAGCGCCGTACACGAATGTGTACGCAGTTACTGAGCTGCCTTAATAATTTATAAATTCTTGTTAGTTACTAAACACTAAAATATGTCGCAATCTTTCACTAAAAGATTCACATATTTCTTTCTGTTGACGGTGAGTAGAGACCAACTCATCACTTTAAACGCCTATAAATGACAGTATGCAACATTAGGAAAATAGCGTTCAAACAACCATTATGACATGGTACGCCATAAAGCAGTCCCATATACATACATGAGTAAGAAGTCACTGAGTGTCTATTGAGCATTACTCTTTCTCTGAATCCATTGTTAGTTGCATGATTGTATTTCATATTATTTTCAGTTTCACTCATTTTGCATAAGACAGTTTTTTTTGACTAAATGAAAAGGTTTGTGGTAAGACTCTGGATATGATAAATGTATCAGTCCTCCTGACTACTATTCAGTTTTGACAAAAGTCATAAGTCCAGTGAAATTAGTCAAGTATGTGGTTCGCTTGTGAGCTAATCACTTAGTGATGGCCACGCTACATCAAATCGAATTGAAACGCACTCAGAAACCTCATGCTTTAGGCAATGAGTCACACCTATTGTGTGAGGGCTAGGAATACAACCAGGCTGCCTAAACCTTGTTAGATGCAGCCGGGCTCCAACTCCGTGACCTAGTGATTGGTAGTTACCTCCATAAACCACTATATATAGCCCCACGATAGACGGTAACCGCATTCATTCTACCGATCGATCACCAGCCTTGCAGAATCTATCATGACGATAGGTAAGTCTACCAGTGATTTAATGTGGGGTTAGTTTTGAGTTGTATGGTGTATACCTACAGGTGACGTGCTATGGACTACTTAAAGTCGCCCATCCATCCATATCAACATAAGATCAGGCATTACTGCCTAACGGTCCAACTTGCCACATCTCACATCACTACATCAAGTAAAAAGGCAATGAAATGGAAGATGAAGAGAAGAAAATTCAGTCAAAAAGCAATATAAAGTACGAAAAGAGAGAAAGGAAGGATGAGAAAATGATGGGAATCGGTATAGCGTTAAGATAAGGATAATATGTGTGTATACATCTGCGCCACTGACATCGGTTTTGAGCCGTATCACCTAGAGTCTCCAACCAACTACTTATAGTAGGAAAACGCGATAATACTCTCCTAAAGAGAAGTCGTTTCTTTTGACAAAACTTAGGGTGAATTTATTAGAAAATAAAACAAGATACAATGACTGTCCAGCAATTTATGATATTAAGCAGTAGTTAGTGAAACCCCGTTTCATTATATGTTTACCAATGTATAGCGTAGTCTATAATTTATTACAAATGTCTAAACTGTTTTGAATGAAACTGTTCCACTATTTAAACTTTTTCCAGTTACACACGCAACCACATCCTACTAGACATCTAACGGAGTAAAAATTTCTAATCACCACTGGGGTTTACCACAACACAGTTTCGACTTCGATACTCAACAAGCATTCAATGAATATGAAATTAACTACCGAGTGATACACTTCCTTGTGAAGTAAATGCTGATAAAGTTATGTAGCCTGACTATGAACGTCTAAGAATAAACTGCGGAGAACACCAAACACAACTATCATCCTCTTCTCCAGCTACAAATCTTTTCTACTATCTCAAACACTTGTTGGGTGTATGAATGTGAACAGTGAGTTTAGAGAATCGACGAACCTCCTTAACAATAGATTGTAACGGAAGTGAAATCAAGGGAGACAGTACGAAGACAGAAAGAATCAACGTAGAGCCTCGCACGCAAGTGCATCACTTCAATTTGCCACACTTTACAGTAGCATACGAAGAACAACACTCATATCAAAGTAGACGATGTTGTGTGGGAGAATAAACAATTTGAAGGTGAAGAATAGTGCAAATATTCAAGGGGTGAATACATCTGCGCCACTGTCACCAAGAATTCTCAACCACTGATTCCTATCGTCTCGAGGACCCCAGCCAGATAATCTACATCTCTCAACACCACTCAAATCAACATTAGGAGACTTCATCGACTGATGCCATGTCTTAGTCTGGTTACCTTGAACCGTCTTACAACCTAATCCAACTTCTCCTAACTTGGTACACTGAAGTAAGCGGTTGCTTAGCATGCGCAGTACATGTCCAAACCATGTCAGTCGATTAAGGTTCAAAATGTCATCAGCCGACTTCCATGTCTTGCCTATTACCCTTCACCTGACTGACTTTAATATTGCTCACACGGTGATTCCACGAAATGCGAGCAATATTACGAAGACACCTCATTAAAACTGTGTAACCGCTCCATGTTTTTTACTTTCAGTGGTCATGTCTCACAGACGAATAAAAGGACAGAATGGACTGCAGTACAGTATACTCGTCTTTTCCTAGAGAAATAGTCGAATATCTAGCCAGTCAACACCACAGGTGACACAAGTTGGCAAATACCAATCGACCTTCTGTATCTGAGTTGAGATTGCGTCAGCAACCAACCCTTTCGAAAGTAGCAAGATAAAAGATAGGACAGGAAGTGGAGACAAAGAATTGCAAAACTTACCTGTTTTTCATCCATTGCCTGTTTAACAAGGTCTACGTACTCGTTTTTAACCCAATCATAAAGACTAGCTGCTAGCCTAGAATAATAACTGTAAGAATGAATACATTAACATACGCTAATTCTGAGTCACTTTTGAATTCATTCGCCCATTTTTTAAACACTTTAATTAATTGGAGACTTGGTATACGTTGCAAACTCTAGATAAAGAAAGTTAATCCAGAAGAATAAGTTACCGAAAAACTCTTCTTTATTGACTGAGAAAAATCTTTGGAAGATAATTCTCTGTTGAAATTCTTGCCACAGTTTTGGGAACATGCATCTAATAACTTGTAAGATGAATGACTAACCAAGTTTACACTTCACTTACTGTTATAGCTCTGATTGAAACATTTGGATTCTTATGGAAAATCCGCTTACATATCGTTTTAACACAAGCTTTTGGCCTGAGTCACATAAATAATTACAATGAAAGGACTAACTCTTTGCTGGCATATTTTTCACAAATTTCTAAAATAAGATCCCAGTTATCTTGAGTATTTTTCTCAGATGTACACTTTTCTGTGGAAGAAAAGATGAACTTTAAGTGAATTATACATTACAGCTATTATTTAACGGGGTTTTTATTATCGATAATAAGCGATATATAGTGGGAATTCATGAAATGACAAAATTCTAGACTCATGTTTCTACTAATAGTCAACTTGAAATATATTTCATCACTCCTAGAATCAATATAAAGATTACTTTATGAAGTCGTTTCAAAGTAAACTGTCATTAGCTGAACGTACACCGTAAAGGGGTCAGGGAATGCGGTTAACATCAAGATATACGCCATACTATCATTTTTCTAGTCTCTCTTTATTGACACACTTGTATTTACCTTTATTTCAGATATTACAACGCCAAACATTAATCAAAAGAAGTCTACGTAACCTCCAAATACGTTTTAATTATCCACCAACGAACGTGAGACAAAATAGCACAGTGAAATTAACCTGAAAACCTGGTATAGGAAATCCTCAAGTTATTGGTAAACATGGCAAACCGGACTCTACTTTAGCTGGGACTACAACCTAGGGTGAAATATAGTAGACAACATTAGTAACAAACGAACAGTAGAGGCAACCAAATAAGTTTTGTCAAAAATAGTAACATATCTTGGCCGTTTCAGATTGGTCGACTGTGAAGAGCCAAGCAGAATGCAGATAAAGGAGAAATCTTCGCACAATTTGCTTTCACGATAAAATTCTTTGTGGATGCAAATTAACAGTACCGCTGTTAGTAATATACATTCCTGAACCAGTAATTAACTTGATCAACTAACTGATTTTCAGTAAATGAAGAAGGGAAATGGAAATTTCAATTGCACGAAGCCCTAATAATTGTACTCTCACAGTCAAATAAGTATAATTTTGAAAGGCATGAGTGGTTTACCTGAATTATCTTTTTGTTTACACTTCTACACAGAGTCAGATATCTTCATTGCCAGAGATGATTTGATATGGCAAATATGAAATAAACCTTTTGTATCTGAAACTTTTACAGACACCATAAGATCAAAAAATACTTAAGGTGACCTAGGTTGCAGTATGTCGTTTCGGCTTTCCACCGTATACCAACAGAAATGGCATGTCACACCTTTACCAGAACTCACAAAACTACCTTGATATGCGAACCTTTCCACTACTTTCAATAGTTAGCTAAAGACAAATGGAAAAAGTGAGCAACCCTGCTTAACCCTACTGTTGGTTAGAAATAGTATAGAGGTGATTGTGTGCCCTCACTGGCACAATGTTAACAACTTCCCAGGAACTCCTTTTTATGCTAGACAATTTAAAAGTACAATCCTAAATCAAAAACAGCTTTGATATCAAGAAGTGCGACTGCTGATCTGCAACGTGTGCGACGTTCAAGCGTTCGGCAGAGGGTGGATATGTGGTCAATAACACCGATGACCTAAAGGAAGCCTGGTTTACGTCTCACGAATTAGCCTTTTACATGCTCCGCAAAGCCTAAATCACCCAATATTTTTGAGGCAACAAGCAGAAGACTGATACCTCGGTAAATGTTATATACATTACGTAAACCCTTCCGCAAAAATCAAAACAATGATAACTGCATCTTAGAACATTCAACTAGTTATATTTCAAACAACATCATCTGATTAAAGTCTCGTCCTTATCCTTACGAAGAGCCAGGGGTAAACTGCCTGGATCAAGTTCCTCATAGCAGTTGAATTTCCGTTGGACCTCTGCTACGTTAGATGGGTTGACATTTACCGACGACAACGAACAAGAGACTCAGATTGAAACTGTTGGAGCTGCAGAGGAGCCAAATCGCTTGTCCAAGTGTCCGGCTTAGCAATTCAGGTGTCTTTGAAGTTTGTCGATCGACATATAATCTACCTTACAAACAGTTTTAATGACATTATGCTTTTGCTGCCAGTGACTCAAATGAGCCGGTGAAGCTCCATGTTGTTTACAGATTTAGTTATGTAGTCTAAAATTAGGTAGGTTTGGCTGCTCGTAAAAAGACTTGGTAATCGCTTTGAAATCTTAATTGGGAATGTTCCATATGTTTGGCGACTGAAGTACCATCTGAATGCTCAAACTGGAGCAGAGCTGCCTTGACGAACCATCCCTTAATTCTTTCATTTGGAATCTAATCTAAAACGCAGGAGAGCAAAGTCAGTTTCTGCATTTTCACGGTTGTTAGTAATAAAAATACGTTTGTGCACCACTCATTCGCTCGAGATTTTACAGCTTATATGTACCGTAATTTTACAAAAGGGTTGTATGGCCGACCTTGAGGAGATGTACCCTGGGCTCCACGGTTACACACTGCTAACATAAATTTTTCTCTTCTAGGTACTTTAGAAAAACAACTTTCACCTTGTGGGTAACTGGGGAGTACCAAACACCAACACGCATCCAGTAGCAATAGCCTACCAACCCTACCTACATATCCTCCCCTGACTTCAGTTTCTGATATCAACATTTGACCGCTTACAGTTTCCTCAACTTCCTGTTCTGAGACCATCGCTAACGATCCAAGCAGGCAAAACACTATTCGTAGTCTCTTAAAATCACGCTTCGGAGCTTTTAACATCTGAAGCCTATGCCAAATAGGACAAAAGTCATCACTTTCAAAAACTTATGATTCTTGAGGTATGCATGTTTGCTGCGTTACTGAAACGAGCACACAAAACGCCAATGCGATTATTCACTTTTTCTAAACGATAGCTGCTACTTAGACGTGGTGACCGCGCTTGTATATCACAACCCAGCTTGAATCCCGGTGGGAACATCACTCACTGGGAAGCAGGTACATCCAGCTGACGAGTCCCAAAAAGGACGAAATGCGCATCCCGGATTCCACCGCTAGCCACTGTCCATCATTACTACATATAAAGGGACATATTTTTGACGTGGCATCCACTGATCTTAACTCAGTGGTGGGCACAGATAAACTACGTTGCTATCAAGTTATCGCTGGAAAGCGTTGCTGCGAGATTGTCACTACTTGTAGAGCACGTATTTGAAGAGTAATTACACGCTAGTCCGAGCACGTGGATATCTGTCTAAATGGACGTGGAAAACTACAGCAATGAAATCATTGTGAATGCAGCTCAATAACGAGAATATTAAGACTGCTTTCAACGAAGAGCTGGCTGGAGAGTTATCGGAACACACCACCTATCCAAAAGATGACGCGCCATCTCCAGCCTGCTGTGAGAACGGCGTTAAAGACCATAGCTGAGGAGTTTAGAAGTTTCTTCTGAAGAAATGGATACACATGAATATACTCCTGTAAGCTTCGAGGGCAATGAGAAGAGGAAGCAACTCAAATGTAGAGTACTAACCAGAAGTCTACGAAATGACCATGAACAGGTAGCTAAGACTAAAGAAGTGAAAAAGGCAGTGGCGATATGTGACTGTAGGCAGCTATTTAAAAATAAATAAAACGGGTGAAAATGTCATTCGTCAGTAAGACCATAACAGAAGACTGTCTGAGAATCACTCACAGGAAAGACGACTGAAACGATGAGTGGAACTTTGAGAAACAGTTCACCTGGCCTCCAGCTAATATCCCGTTTCCCGCCATCTAGTTGGTCCCTGGATGAAAGGCTGAAACAGGACCTTCAACACTTGCAGAATTTTATGGGTAACTCGGAACAAGGAAAGGTAGAGGGATCAGGTGGGTTATCACTGGGGGTATTAAGGAACGGTAGTCGAAGATCATTTTTTTCGACCAATTGAAGTGTCAGGATATAGGAAACAGGAATGATTGCATATGAATGGTCTCCATCACTGATTATTCTAGTTCTCAAGAAAAAGGAGAAATCGTTCTACGAAATCAGTTTGACGATTAACGTCCCGGATCCCAGGTTGTATAAACAATAAGTCCTTAAGTGAAGCTCAGGAAAAGCAAAATCAAGGAAATCAGACTCCAGACATTTACATGGGACCTGGCATTAGTGTGATGGTCCAAGCTGTCATACTTCGTATCAGCACATCAAGTGAAAATGCATCAAGATCAAACACAGAAAAATAAGGAAGAAATTGATCGGAAGAGTAAGGAGGAATGAGAGAATACTGAAATTCTGTAGAATGAATAATATAAAGACAATGAGGAGATATCTGCGTCATTGAGTTCGACTCTGAGCCATATTATCTAGCCTCCAACCACTGACTTTTGTTGTTGCAGAGAAACTAACCAAGAAGTCTGTGTTTCCCTAAAGAGGTCAAACCAATAGCCAGGGGCTTCGGGGACTGATGCCATATATTAGTTTGATTGTCCTTATTTTTTTCCAGCCTGAACCTACTTCAGCTAACATTGTGTAACGAGGTAGACGGTGTCAAGGCATGCATAATACGTCGCAACCGCCTCAGTCGATAAAGGCTCACGATCTCATCAATTGACTTTCCTCTTCTGACCAAAACTCTACTCCCGACCTCTAGGTTACTGAAATAGTGCCACTAAAACACATGACCCATGCTACGAAGGCAACTGGTCAAGTATTTGAAGCTTTCTCATATCCTTTATCTTTAATGGCCATTTTTCACACTCATACAGTAGAAGAGAGCGGAATGCGGTGTACACCCGATCTTTAAGATAATCGGATATCACAGAGTACGTTGGCGAAGGTCAAAAGAGCCTTTAGCATCGACGCAGAGATCTCGTTGGTTGCTGACCCACCAGGGCTTATCTGCATTCCCAGGTGGGTGAGGAAATCAGCTTGCCCCACCACTTCACTCCCTGTTTTCAGATAAGCGAAGACCAATTCTGAAGCAATAATCTGCATTAAGATGGTAGAAAACATATCCTAAACATTCTCAAATTGTTATTCAAGGTGTCCAAAAGACAGCATTGGAAACCACACACTGACAAAGTCAACGTAGAACCTCACGCACGAGTGAAATACCTCCAGTTCCTACACTTTACAGTATTATACGAAGAACAAGTGGGCAGAAAAGGACTGACATCAAAATAGACAGAGTTGTATGAGAGGAGCAACCTGAAGATAACGGTTAGTGCGAATATTCAAGCTTTTGAAGACGTCAAAGAGTGATTACGTACCAGTGAGCAGCTGCTTGGACCCACTGGTCACCAAACCCAAGGTGGGTTATCACAATTTGTTCATGTAATACAGAATATCCAGCACGCAGAAGCTTGCTGCTACTTCACTTGTCATGAAAAATATGGTAAACGCCAACTCAATTAGCAACTACTCCGTCCTTATATGTACCAAGGTTCATTCGTCGTAGACTGTCAGTGGAGTCGCTTCTCAGATAACAGAATTCTTTGCTGAACAAAGATCTATGCAAGTTTCACTTAAGATTTCTAGTGTGGGAAAATAGCAAGATGACGACACAATGTTTGGCTGTTTTGATGTCAGAAGCAAAAAGCAAGACGGCATCCAGTGTCTTGTCTGTGGAAGACCATTTAGATTTCCCACTAGTTGAGATCAGTTGGATATCATCAAGGCATCTGTAAAGGATGAAAACTTTCGCGGAACATTCGTAAATCACAATTAGTCAACGATTGTACACAGCGAAGATTGCCAAAGTGCAAGACGAGCCGAAATTACCATCAAAACTGGAACTACAGTTCACCATGCAGAATACTTCGTAAAAGCAAGGTTTAAATTCGGCACCTATAAAACCATAAATTCTGAATCGCTTTTAACGCTAGTCCCTGCTGAGTGAGGTGAAAGGAATAGTCAGTGCATCTACTAATTCGTGTTTCTACAACGTTCTGGATGGAGTAGTTAGACGTCGCAAGCCTAATGACTACGTAGGTTTAGTGTTGCAGGCTGTTCATTTTGCTATCTACGTATATATGGTTAATATTTAACACGTGCTTTAACATTTTCAGTACAGCAGTGTTCTTCACTGAGGCTGAGTCGAAAACGTGGAGATAAGTGTAAGAAGGTCCCTTTTATTTTCATAATTACGTCTTCAAAGACCTTATTAAAACTCCCTACTTCTTTCCTAACAGAGACTTTGCAATGAGTAGAGAATTGAATTAGTGAAGATGGTCCAAATGCTATGTATGTCTTAAAAATGTCACCTTACGAAATATATTCCTAAGCCATTATCCTAACTGGTTTGTCTAAGTGGCAGATGTATTCAGAAACTAGGTGGGCAGTTTGGAAATAGTGCGTAAATAATACGGCGCAAGAGCTGTTTACCCATTCACACGTAAATAATACGAACGCACAAAGTATGCGGGGGACGTAGGAAAAGCAGCTTACAACGTGCTTTTCCGTTACTTTGTGCAAAGCATTCAAACTCATTATTTCAACATTTTCGTTTGGTGAAGTAAATGCCTCACAAGATTGCCTCGAATATGGCGACGAAATATTAACACATACATTATCACAAATAAACTCAAAATGTATGCCAGGTACATAGCATCCACGACAAATGACTGCAAAATGTAACCAACCTATCACAGAATCCATCTCCAACCATTAAATATTGCGGTGGCTAACTTCCTCTTCAATATCCAATATCCAATTCAATATCCAATATTGATAGTGCGAGCGTAGAAAACTGGTAGTTTTTGATCTCTCGCGTCTAGTTCTTAGGGCTTGGTTCCAGTTGTTCGGTTTACTCCTGCAGTGGACGAGGAAATCCCTCTGCTTTCTTGCTTTTAGCTTCGGTGAGGTGGATGTTTTGTGGGTTAGTAGGTTGTAATTTGTAGAGTGATTAGGGAGCTACGGGTTGCTGGGAAGTTTAGAGAACTGCCATGACTCCTGTCTGTGTAGGTACCTGGAAGAGAATAGTAAGGTAGTGGTAAAGGAATGAAGAGAGAATAAAGAAGAGAGTGAAGTAGCACCATAGAGACTCTGGGAGCTGGGTTAAGGCCGTATCGCTAACCATCCTTGCCTTTAAACAGGAGTTTGCGTAGATAGCCACTCCCCCTCCTGCTCTATGTTCCCTGTCCCTGCGGAAGAGTTCCATGCCAGCAACACGCATCTCTTCGTCGGAGATGTCCGATGAGAGCCAGGATTCGGTGATGAATATGATGTCGGAGTGCTGATGTTCACGCAGCGTCCTCATTTTTGCTACCTTCCCTATTAGCCCCCTAACGTTGCTGTACATACATATTAGAGTGTACCTGATGAGAGGGGAGGTCTGGATGTGTATTTTCGCGGGATGAGCGCTTACGTGGTTGAATTTAGCCTCGCCAGTCCTCATAGGACTGGCATTGTTCCGTTTTTTTGTGTTTTGTTCTTAACTTGGGTGGGGGCTGTAGCAGTGGTGGCTTCTTTACTTGATGTATCTAACTCACTGGTCAGCGCCTGTGTGACGACCACTGACTCCAGAGGTCTTGGTGGTTGCCGTCTCTCCTCTTGCCTTGTGGGTCTAGGCTTACTTTCACATATACGTATTGAGCCACCCATGCGATCTTTCGCATTATACCATGCGTGCAGAACGTCTGTGAGGGAGGCATATGAGTCGAACTGGACGGCAAGTAGTCTGGGATTGGGTATGGTCTTCAGGTGCGCTGGCCTTGGCAGTCTACTGACGCTGTTGGCCGGTATACTGTTGAGACCAACTTTGGTTGAGAGCCATTGCCATTGTTGGACGTCGTGAAAGTACCGATCTTTGACCGAGCTGTCACTTGGCAATTCTGGAATCCCATGTACAACTATAGTGTTGTTTCTGTTGGGATTTCCAACCGCTGACTTTCTCTCCTCCTCTCTTACTGACCATGGCTTGTCAGGCCTGGCCCGAATTTTACAGGCATTAACAACGTCCGGTTGTCGTGAGAGGAGGAGTGTGTCTTCAGCCTCTTTGGCGGTATTTAGGGACACACGTAAAGGGGGTGGCTTATCTCGGGGTGCATGGCTTCCTCGAGAAAGGCGACACAAAGTTGCAGGGAGGGGAGGGAGTCCCAGCATCTGACAGTAGTCGGTCCACATTCGGCTGTCAAATTGTTCCCTCTCGACCAACAATGAGTCTGTCGATACATCGACGTTGAACAAAATGATCGAGTTGGTCCTCCTGTGACCTGGGTTCGTTGTGGGTGGCACGCCCGACTTCCCAATGGGTTTGAGTAATTCCACTGGTTGTTTCTCAGTCACGGTGTGTGGGGTGTTCGGAATGGGTTTCGTAGAGGCTTCGGCGGTCGATGTCTTTGGCCATGCGCTTGACGTCCCCTGGGGCCGGGTAGGGGGTATGGAGACTTGACCTAATATGGTCCCCACGCGAGATGGCGTGCCCACAGCTGGAGCTCTAGGTCTGTTTCCAGGTCTCTCTGTGTTATCCTTTGGTGTTAACCCTACTTTATTCGAGGATGCTGGTAGCTTTTGCGTGGCGGAGAGCATCTCCTTCAGGCTTTCTGTGCGGAGTGCGGGCATTTTCCTGCACTCTGGACAGATGTACCAGAACCACTTGCATGGTTGTCTCTTCATCAGCTTATAGTATTGTCGGGGGACTTTGGTATCGCAGTGGCAATGCGCCCATCGTTGACACAGGTTGCATGCAAATGCCTCATCGACTACCGAAACAACTTTGGTGCAAACACTGCAGCCATCGGGTGTCGTGACTCCTGTCTGTGTAGGTGCCTGAAAGAGAAAGGTAAGGTAGTGGTAGAAGAATGGAGAAGAAAAAAAGGAAAATAGGGGAAGGGAAAAAGGAAAAGAAAGAAAATGGTGAAGAGAAGGGGGGTGAAGAAGAGAAGTAAAAGAGAGGAGTGTATGGAAATTGCCAGAATGGCAGAGTGGGTTTAGCTCATACAGGAGAATTGGCAGGTGATGTGGGTGTAGTAAGGAGAGAGGTAGTGAGTGGTAGATAGGAGGGAGTCGAGGGTGGGCTAGTGAGGTTGGTGACTACCTGAATACGTCCGTAGTAGACCATACGAAGCGACATAACTGTTTTAGGATTTGTCCTGCTGCGAACTTGACAGACGCAAAGACCAATCACTAATTATTGATTTTGGGGAAGTATGTGACGCTACACTGTCTAACCGTCTCTTGAATGAGTTGACTGGGGGAGCTTTAACGATATGTCGCGGTAAGGCATTCCATAAAGCACATGCTCTCAGGGAGAAAAATTTGGACCTGAGTATGGTGTTGGCTCATTGGTGTGCTATCTTAATGGGGTTTCCTCGTGAAGATCGTTGAGTTGCAGGCAAAATTGATTTATTTGCATGGTCTGCCTGGTTGGCGATCTTGTATGCCATAATGAGGTCACCCCTTTTCCTGCGATAACCTAAGGTAAATAGATCTAGATGTTTAAGCCTTTCAGGATACGTCTTTCCCTTAGCTACACAACAGATTTTGTTGCGATTCCCTGTATTTTTCAAGGATGTTAGAGTTCCTCTTGAGTGTTGAGGGGACCACAGTGTTGGAGACCCCCAGATGCGGCCACACATGGGACTGGAAGATGGTGAGGAAGAGTTCGGGGTGGGGGCGCCAATTTGCCTATGCAGAAAGTGTAAAATAGCGTTTGCTGTGGTTGTCATACCTTTGTGGTTGGAGCTGGTGTTCAAGGTGTCGGAGAAGTTGAGCCCCAGATCTTTCTTCGTGGACACTCTGGTGAGCACGGTTGCTCAACATGTGATGGAGGTAGATCGTACATGCTTCATATTTACTGCTGTGCATTACTTTGCACTTTTCCAGGTTGGAGCTCAAGCCATTTTCCGAGGACCAGAGCTCAAGTTACTGCAAGTCCTTTCGTGGTGCTGTACAGTCAGCTTCTTCGTTTACCACCCTTCAAACTTTAATGTCATCAGCGAAGAGGAGGATGGATGAGGATATTGTGTCTGACAGATCGTTGACGAACAGGAGGAACTGAAATGATCCTAGGATTGCTCCATGGGATACTCCTGACGTCGACGGTCTTCAGTCCGACCTTATTCTGTTTACTTTGATGCAGAACTGCCTGCCTTTCAGGTACTCCTTGGACCAAGAGTGTAGGGATTCACTTAGACCGGCCGACATGATCTTGTGAAGCATGATTGTGGGTGGAACACTGTCTAATGCTTTGGCTAGGTCGAGAAAAATAACATGTACTAGTCCTCTGTTATCCCAGTTTGGTGTCCATTCGTTCCAGGCAGTTTTATAAGCTGGTGGCACATGAGCGACCACTCCGAAAACCATGCTGAGCAGTATGCACAGTGTATTTCCCTATTGAGGACTTCCCAGACAGCGTCAGCTACCGGGCTTCCTAACGCTTTCAACACACCAGGGGGTAGAGCAATTGGCCTGTAGCAGCCAGGGCTTTTCCCCTCTCCACATTTGAGGATGGGTGACGAGATGGTGCTCTTCCATTCTTTAGGGAGTTTGCACGACTCTGTTGAGTGCTCGAAGAGGTCGCAGAGTGATTTTGCAAGCGCCTTGGAGCAGTTTTTTAGGATAATTGGTTTTAGGTTGTCACAGCCAGGGGACTTTGCTGAACGTATTCAAGGTAGTTTCTTGAACGCTCTTTTCTCTGTGATTGAGATGTGGTAGAGGTATTCGTTATTTATGACCTGGTCGGTGTCGTAACGAGTCGGCGTGGACTTAGTGTCGGTACCAAGTTGGGTTTGGAAGTGTGAGCTCAAAAGCTCGGCAATCTTTAGACTGCTTAGTACACTCCCAAAATGACCTGCTTTAAGCTTCACTTCCTTGCTGATCGGCCCCCTTCTTGACATGAAGCGGTACAGGTTTTCGGGATTGCCTTGTAACTCCTCCGCCAGGTTCGTTTGTTGGAAGAATCTGTCGCTAAGCGCTCTAATGGTACAGCGGTTGCGAATCCTTTTGTAGTTCAAAAAGTCAGGCTCCCTGAGTGATGAACGCCACTTGAACTAGGCCTGCTTCTTGCTCTGGATAAGCCTCCCTGTCCCACGCTTTAACCATGAGGTTCTCACCTACTGTCTGTGAGTTACTTCTGGTACACTGTGACTGATGGCCCCAGCGATTATTTTCTTCACTTCCAACCAGTGTTCGTCTATTGTGGGATAAGTCCAGTCTACCGGCCATGATGCATTCATGAGGTAGTCCCTCATGGTCTCATAGTTGTCCTCGCTGTAGCAAGGGAAGGTGTTGGGCGTCTCCAGTTGCAGAGCCTCCCTAGTAATCACGGAGGTGGTTACAGCGTGGTCACTGAGACCAAGGGGGGGGGGTTGGATGCACACGTCCCCGATGAGAAAGTCATCGTTCGTCAGAACGTAGTCAAGGCGCGATGCTTTTCCGTTAGGTCCCCATCGTGTGGCATCACCCACTTTCTCTGAGAGACCAGCAGTCTGAATTGCATTCTTCAGCTTCTGATTGAAGGATCTGATGCGTCTCCCTTCCGTTTCGAAGAGGATGGACGGAGTGTTGAAGTAGCCGGCAATGAATACGGAATCATGATTTGCAGAGGAAGTCGTTAACATCGTCTTGATGACCATTTCCTTGTGTATAGGGGAGCTGGTGGGGGACCGATACATGACTCCGAGCAGGTATTTGGCAGAGTGGAGAGTGAAGTAGCATCATAGAGATTCTGGGAGCTGGGTTAAGGAGGTATC